CTAATGCTGATTTTTACAAATTACAATGTTGATCTTTTGTCAATTGATGCTTCAGGCTTATGGTGTATTCTCTCTATAAAAATATTGCTCTTTACCTGCTGTTGCAGGTCAGCTTAGAGGCAATGTTTGACGTTCAAGTAAAACGTATACATGAATTCAAGAGGCAACTGCTGAATATACTAGGCATCATACATAGATATGATTGTATTAAGGTATATAATCTCCCTTTTATTCAAAACAAAGATTTCCATTGGTACCATCAGATCACACTTGTATAGGACACACCATGTTGATATTAACTGTAGTCGCACATGTTATCAACGGAACTCTTAATTTTAATGTCACCTGATGGGGTGGTTTGTATCTTATCTCCAAACAACTATAATTTCAGTTAGTGCGCGTTTGTGATGACTTATATTAAAGGAATCATGCTTTTTAGAGGAAGAGTGTTTTTACTTTAAAAAACAAGCCTTTAAAAGGAAAATAGAAAAAAATGCTTTTAACAGCAAAAGACACTTAATGTTTATTTAAGAAAGCAGCAGATTGCTGCTAATTTAAAAATACACTCCAAGTGCGTAAAGGAGAAATTGCATATACCATTACTTCATGGTTGGTTCTTGATATATTGCTCGCTTTGATAATTGAAGAATATGAAGGAGAGTGAAAGACGGAGAGTTGTACCTCGTGTATGCATAATAGGAGGGAAAGCTGCACCTGGTTATGAAATTGCAAAAAAGATTATCAAACTTTGCCATGCAGTGGCAGAAAAAATTAACAATGATCCTGATGTCGGAGACCACCTGAAACTGGTAAGGAATAGTTTTTGTGTTTTAAGTATCTCTATCTATGCATAAGTGTTGCTTGGAAGACATTTAACATATTCTCTACTGTCATAGGTTTTTATCCCAGATTACAATGTGACTGTGGCTGAGTTAGTTATTCCTGGCAGTGATCTTTCGCAGCACATAAGGTTGGTGTTGTGTGTTTAGAAGTAGAGAACAGGTCTGGATGCCATTTCTTCTTTCACATTTCTGCTCACATTGCCCCAGACCTCCCAAGTGATGAAACTATCGTGACAGTTCACTTGGCATAATGGAATGGAATGTGATCAAATATATTTTCAATTTAAATTAGCATAAGACACTCATTTACAGCTCAACAAATGTTGCCTATGTTCTAAAAATCATTGTCTAGACCACTAGCCTAGGCATTAGGAGCCCCTTGATCGCTTACTTTTTCCCTGAGTTGACCCTGCTTAATCATGCCTACTTTTTTTTCCTGCCATCGGCCTTACGCAGATAACTGTTCAAATATATAAACCTGAATCTTAATGCAGCACTGCTGGTCATGAGGCATCCGGAACTGGCAGTATGAAATTTTTAATGAACGGATGTTTATTGTTAGCTACAGCTGATGGCTCAACGGTCGAAATTGCTCAAGAAATAGGAGCAGATAACATGGTTAGTATTTTGTGGCAGGTCCTTGTACATTTTCCATACTGTGGCCAAACTGCATATACGTTTCAATGAACAATATACATTCAGATCAATGTTCTGACATATTCCGTAGAAATTCAAAGTTTCGAACACAAATTTTAAGTTTGTTCGTGTTAGAATATACGGAGTAAAACCTTTCCCCGGCTTAGAACAAAAAACTTGAGCTTTTGGTTGAGTTGGTTTATTGACATGATATCAAAGCCTTGTTGACCTAGCAGGTTCAAACTTCACGACCACCAAGTTAAGAATAATAATAATGTTCACGTGCAAAGCCCGAGCAAAAACAAATCTCGTCTACACGTGAGGACGCTCTAGAATAGAAAACCTTTCATGGGCCTAGAACATCCACAAGTTTGAACTTCTGGTTGAACTGGTTCCTTATAGTTCCATGTTTAAGATCACAATGTGAATTTTTCTCATTATCTTTCCTCTTTGTGGGTGTGTTCAGTTTCTATTCGGTGCGAAAGTTGACGAGGTTCAGACCTTGAGAGAAAAAAGATCTGCACTCAAAGCTCCACTTCAATTCGCACGGGTTGTCAGGTATACTTTGCATTCTAACCTCTAAGTAACAACACACCATCAATCTGTTCATAAATTTCCACTCGTGTTTCTAGGATGGTTCGGGATGGTTATTTTGGCCATAAAGACTATTTCAAATCATTATGTGATACTCTGGAAGATGGCAAAGATTTTTATCTCCTCGGTAACGATTTTGCAAGTTACTTAGAAGCACAGGTAACATAAATTTTCCCCATTTATTCCACTTCATTCCCATTCAGGCTTGTTCTTTTGAGTTGAAATTTCAGAGTTGGATGTTGGAAGAAATTTGGAGTTGGAAAATGTTGGAAGAATTAAAGTGTTAAAAGGTCACTCAATTAAGTTATCACCCAAATAAATATGTAAGAAAACTCTAATTTTGGATAAAAAAAGAATTCATCCTTGTGCATGTTTAAGGAGGTATGTTATAAATTTAGATATATAATGTTATTGTATATCCATCATATATAAATACCTTTTTTAAGTCCTTGGGAGAAACTAGAATGAGTTGGAAGGCGTTGGAAGTTAATTTTTTCAACCCAAAAGAACAAGGCCTCAATCAGTGATTAGACATATTGCAACTGAAGCCTAGAGCCTAGGTAGGTCCTGTAATAGTGGAATTGAAACATGACAACATGAATATATGTACTCCATGCATATAATATATATATATATATATATATATATATATAGGGCGCTGCCGATAGAGCATTTGTTGATGAGGAGAAGTGGACAAGGATGAGCATTCTGAGCACCGCCGGATCTGCTAAGTTCAGTAGTGATAGAACCATTAAAGAATATGCCGAGGAGACATGGGGAATCGAACCGTGCAAATGCCCATATTGACCGCAGTCATACCATGACAGATGACACCAAGGTTGACACCGCCACAGACAATGACACTCTTATCGACAATGACTGTCTGTGTGGTTGTCTCTGCTGGTGTCATTATGTCATCGCCGGTGTTATCATCTCCGGTGTGTTGTTTGTTGCTGGCAGATGTTACAAGCACAGTAATAAGGTTTCTTGTCATCCCAAGGTGAGATTAGAAAGTGAGTCTGCAATTTTAAGGTTAAAAACATAGTGGTTCTTGTTATGTAAGAGTAAGGGTGTTCTCTTGTTCATTTTTTTTTTTTTAAATTGTTCCACTCGGTCCTTATTTATAGGGCACCATAGGATGATCTTGATTCCTACGTATAATTTGTAGTGTACTTTTTATGTTACCAAATACATATTTTATAATTGCCCTCGAGTTAATACTCCCTCCGTCCCAAAACTAAAATCTCACCTTTCAAATTTGGTGTCCCAAAATAAAAGTTACATTTTCTTATTCGGTATAACTATCATTATCAATTTTGCCTTAATAAGTGTGAAGGCAAAATTATTTGAAAATAATTGTGATTTTAAAACTAGACTATATTGAGCATGAATGAGGGAGCCAAATCCACATTTTGTGTTAGGTTTCAAACTAAGCTGCCAATTTAGCAAATCTTAAATCCTTCAAAGGTCTTTGCAGCTGAGCAATGCTATGAGGGTGCTATGAGTTGATTTTCATATTATCATTCAAATGTGGATTTTTAACACACTTTATTTTTTGAAAAAATTTCATACTTGTATTTAAATTGAAGTGCATAAACATTGTTCTAAAAGTTAAATTTCTCGAATTCATTGAGGCAGAGGGGGGAGGATATTATTAATAAATTTAATATGGAATGAGACAGTAGGGCAAAAGAATGTACCCACGTGACTAAACATTATTTTTAAGAGAAATGCTAGAGGCACAAACAAAAAAATCACATCATTCAGATTTGTTACTCTGGGTATTTCTAAATCTCACTAAAAGGGGAAAATGGCACATATAAACAAAAATAGCAGTACGTTGGAAAATATTTAAATTCAAAAATAGTAAGTTTTTGAATATTTTGACTTTTTGTTTGTAATTTTTGGGTGTTGATATTTTTGATTAAATAAGGAACATGGGATTGAATTTTATGAACATTTGATCACAAAACACTATATTCATTTTTTCATCTCAAAATAGTGTACTCATTTATTTCTTTTTGGACATCTCAAATAGCTTTCCCACTTGTTTTATTCCTTTTTAGTATTGAACATGCAACCTATAAATTTTTCAACTACTTCCTTTGTCTCCAAATAAAGTTCAGAAGGGTAGTAACTAAGTAAAATAGAGATGTATTAAATTTATTTTATTTGAAAAATAGCATAGAAATAAAAAAAATAAAATCGAGCTTCTTCTTTTAGCTTAGGTGGTATGGGAAGCACCCCCAAGGATTCTAGATGGGAAGCTCACTCAGATTTGGGACGTTGATTTTCTATGTTTCAATATATTGAGAAAGTATGTGCGAGCATATATTATATTGTAATAGAATTGATAATACTTTTAAAAAAATTAAATATTTAAAAATACATTAAATTAAACAAAAAAAGGACATGATTATATGGAGTACTATTTTATTAAATAATCAATGAAACACATACTCGTAAATAAATAAAAATTATACCCCTAAATTTTTGAGAGAGTTGCTAAATCCATCCCAAAAATGACTATATCCACTCTTTTTACTTAAATTTACTAAATCCACACTAATATTAAAATTATGTTAATTGGCGAGGATTTGATAAATATAATATAAAAGTGTGAATATAATCATTTTTGGAGTGTATTTAGAAATACCCATTTTATTTAAGAGCAACGAAGTAAAAATATTTTAGCCGTTATCACTTTACCGGTATTTTTATCTTCTTTAAGTTTCTTTACAACCGAAAACTCTCTCTTCTCCGTTTCATTCCATTGATGAACGCCCCCCACAATCTGCAAGTGAAAATGGAAACGAGAGCCGCTCGCGCCCAACTTACAGGGAAGAGTCTCCCACGTCTTCTTCTTCTCTCACACCCTTCTTTAATTCGCTCTGGGGATACATTTGAAGGGAATGTTTCTGGCGTGATCCCACAATGCCAGCCTAAAACCCACGACCCGGAGATCAAATTTCTTGATTTTGATGAACACAGCCCCGTGGGTTGTGTCAAGAGGTGCGGAGATTTCTGCGAAATGTATAATCAGAAGGCTGATGATTCTGAGATAGATTCTTTGGGACTCTGCGAGAAGGGTCAGATCAAGAATCCGTTTGCAGGGTATGTGTTCGATGAAATGCGCAGGAGACTGTACCCTTCAAACACGATCGTAGAGGGAGGAGGAGAGTTCTGCAGAGAATTTTCCAAGAATCAGGACCAAGATGGGTTCTTGAATTGTAAAAAGGAAGAGCTGCCAATGGTTAAAGATCTGAAGCTCTGTTCCTACTGCAAGCAGAAATGGCAGAATGGTCACAAGTGCAGGGGAACTCTGAATGCTGTGTCTGGGAATGAAGAAACTGAACAAGTGTCTGAAGCGGAGGCTCCGGTGGCTATGGGCCATAACACCATAAGATTGGTGGGGAATGTCAGCGGCAAATCAATGGTTATTCTGATAGACAGTGGGAGCACACACAGTTTCTTGGACCCCGAAATTGTGAAGGATCTGAATCTGAGTTTCGTAGAGACTGAGCCACTCAATGTGATTGTGGCTAATGGAACTGAACTGAGCTGTAAATTTGCCTGCCCCAAGTTCAAATGGACTGTTGAAGGAGAACCCTTTGAGATGGACATGAGGCTACTGAGGATGGGTGGTTGTGACATGGTTCTTGGAATGGATTGGGTTGCCAAGTTTGCCCCTGTCGAGCTGACCACCAGACCCCTCAGTGTAGCGTTCGTGAAGGGGGGCAGAAGGGTCCAACTCCATGGGATTCCACCAAGCTGAGGAGCACTTGAACACTCTGTGGGTTAGTATGCTGGCTGCCATTGTATAGAGTCAAGATCATGAATTTCTAGCTGCATTTTAATTCATATAGTTTGGGTTCTTGTTTGATATGTTTCCCTTTCATTCATTTCTTTTTTTATAGTATGGGACCTTAGAGATAAATCTCCTGTAAATGCAGTTGATCTTGTGTTGAAGAAACTATTGTAATGAATAATGGTGAAGGGTTAGCACTAATTTGCTGGGAGTCTTTTAAGTTCTGTAGATGATTGGGTAGTGCTAGAGAGATTGAGGACTTGAGGGTATAGAAACTAGGCAAGGTTGTGAAAGGTGAATGATGGGGTAGCTGATGGTCAGGTCGGCCCATTGGGCCAGAAACTACTAGAGTGGAGCCCAATGGGCCGTCGATCTTGAGCCCTACCGTATTCACCGGTCAAACTTTAACTTCTTTTTTTTTGTAAGTACCTTATTTCGATAATCTTTCGTTGAAATAATATAGAGTAGTTAAGCACAACTTCACTAATGCTCTCGATAGTTAATCCGAGTATCTGCCAATATTTTAGGAGTGATAAATTGAGTTTTAATCACACCTTGAATGGATGAGATTACTACTCCCTTTGTTTCTTTTCAATCTTCTCACCTAATATTTGTAAGGTCAAATGATATTCACATTCTTTAATATGGAATGTGCAATTTTCATTAATTTTCCGGTGAAATATCATAGTTATATCATTTTTATTATATAGAAGTTTTATGTAGTTTTTTAATGTTTACGTTTTGTTTATAAAATTTGCAACAATATTTCAATAAATTAAACTGAAAATAAATTTAATCAATTATAATTTAAAATGGGAAGATAATTAAGGGCAGATGGAGTAGAATTTAGTAGACACTTCCTTTATCCCAATTTACATTGCTCTTTATATCTCCATAATTTTATTTGTTTATTTTATTACTTATTTCATAAAATAATATTATCTTGTCACATTTTATTTTATAAAAATTTTAATGTAGCATTATATTATTTAATATTACTTTTAAATTTTACATCTATAATCAATAAATTAAATAAAAAGTAAATTCATTCAAGTGTCGTATCATGGAAATATACATGTAAGACTGAAGGAGTATTATTTATATTTTATAAAGTCAAAGTTTATTCATTTCTTGTTTATTCTAATACTTATTTGGATAGTTATACCATCTTTTATTTGGTAATATTTGTGGGAGTAAATTTCATAATTGTCCATTATAACAGGGGGTTTCCATATTTAGTCCTCTATTATCAAATATTATCCCCGTAGTCCTTTTTTAAGGGTGCCTTTCCACAAATGGTCCTTTTTTGATCTTCTGCCAAATTGGTGTTAATTTAAAAGCTAAAAGCATAATTTGATATCAACATTATGTCTAGTGACGTGTTCTAATATTGGTTAAGCGAATAACATAAAAATAATGACTATGATTGTGGACTAGAATTCAGACGAAAGACCACATTTGTAGACTATGGTTGTAGTAGAAAGCGACTGTAATTCACAAACGACGCAAACGAAACAACCTTTGGAATTGTGTATGATAAAAAAGATATATTATCATTGTGAAATTACATTTTTAGCCCTCAAATTAACACAAACATGATTGAAGATTAAAAAAGACTATTTGTGGAAAAATACTCATACATGAAGGACTACTGGTATAATATTTGATAATAGAGGACTAAATACAGAAACTCCCTGTTATAAAGGACCAATTATGGAATTTACTCTATTTGTGGTGTAGTTTTTGTAGTATATACTCCATGTTTTTTTTAAAAAAAAATTATACACTAATTTTTGAATATATTAATTAGAAAAATAATTTTAATTAAAAAAAGGAAGAAAAACAAGTCTTTCACACAAGACCCCCTTGCTTTATACTCCCTCCATCCCAAAAAGATTTACACGTTTCAAAAAAATTGTGTCCCACAATTTCCTACTCATTTCTATTAAAAAACTACTTTTACTCCTTACTTTTTCAAACTCTACCTATCACATCGTACCTTTTTTCTAATAATCTACACATCACATCTTACTTTTATTCATCAAATCAAAGATATTTTTGGAAAGTCAACACAAAATTATCCTTCACTTAATTTCAATTTTAGTCAAAACGTGTAAATGTATTATAATATACTCCCTTCGTCCCTGAGTGTTTGACCACTTTCATTTTTGCACATCATCCAATACACTTCTTTAATCCATTTTATCTTGTAATTTGTATATTAAAAAATTATAAAAATTATATATTAATAATCTATATGTCAAAACGAATCAAACAAGATCACATATGATTAGTTTTAGGCTTACACATTGAGAGAATTTGATAAGTCAAAGTGCTTAGATGAACAATTCCAAAAGTCAAAAGTGGATAAAAGATGTATATAGAGTTCCTCCGTATCACTATTGGAAGTCTAGATCTCTCTCCTCAGCCACACAAAAAATTAAAAAAAAAAAAGAGAGAAAAAGGAAGAAGAAGAAGAAGCCATTAATGGAGGACACGAATTGGGAGCAAAGACTCCACGCCCTAACCCACATCATAACCAGCCCCACGCCGTCGCCGCCGCCGCTCCACTCACAGTACTTCATCGCCGCCCAAGTCCCCTGCTACCTCAACTGGCACTACCCGCCGCTCCTCTGCCCCAAGCCCCTCATCCACCCCAAGTGGGCCCTCTCCTTCTTCATCAGGAACCTCTCCGCCGGCTCCGAGCGCCCGGAGAACTCGTGGAGGTCGAAGTGCCCGTACAGCGTCCCGCCGCCGGTGGTGCTCGCCGGAGGAGTGGAGGCGGCTGCGTGGGGGGATGAGGAGAAGATGATGGACCATGGGAGGAGAAGGGTTAGGAGAAAACCTCTTGTGAGTAATGTGCACCCTTTGGTCCCCTTTATCATTCCTCATCTCTTGTTCTTACCATTTTTACATTGGAAACATTTTCTAGATAAATAAATTCGAGTTAATAATAATATAATGCTATTGAAAATTTGAATATTATTTGATTTTAGATGTGTTCATAGAATGAATACTATATACTCCTTTTCTTTTCATAAAGCGATTCCTATTTTGACTTTTAGAAGGAATAAAAAGTGTATATTTGTGGTTGATTTCAATTTTAATTTTGATGTGATGGTAAAAGTAAAATTTGATGGGTAAATTATTAGTAAAAAAGTGTATATTAGGGGGTTGGAGAGTAATAATCATTGGGTCCGTTTGGGAATAGCATTTTCGATTAACGTTAACGTTTTGGATAAAATCTTAATGGTGCTGAAAAATGTTAACGCTAAACATTGCTCGTTGATAGTCTTTTCAAAACGCTAACGCTGATCTTTAAAGCTATTCTCGAACATGCCCATTAATTCTCTTAAAGAGAAGAGTAAATTCCATGATTGGTCCTTTATAATAGGGGAGTTTTCATATTTAGTCCTCTATTATCAAATACTACCCCCGTAGTCCTTTTTTTAGGGGTACCTTTCCACAAATGGTCCTTTTTTTGATCTTCTGTCGTGGTTGTGTTAATTTAAAGGCTAAAAGTATAATTTGACATCAACATTATGCTTAGTGACGTGTTCTGATATTGGTTAAGCGGATAACACAAAAATAATGACTATGGTTATGGGCTAGGGTTCTGGCGAAAGACCACATTTGTAGACTGTGGTTGTAGTAGAAAGCGACTGTAATTACAAACGACGCAAACGGAACAGCCTTTGAAATTGTGTATGACAAAAAAGATATATTATCATTGTGAAATTACACTTTTAGCTCTCAAATTAACATCAACATGATAGAAGATCAAAAAAAGGACTATTTGTGGAAAGATACCCATAAAAGAATGACCACTTGGATAATATTTGATAATAGGGGACTAATTAGGGAAATCCCCCTGTTATAAAGGATCAATTATAGAATTTACTCTAAAGAGAATATAGTAAGAATTCTAGTCTCAATTAATGTCAACCAAAGGGAACTACTCCATCCGTCCCATAATATTTGTCCACTTTCATTTTTACACATCATCTAATACACTTTTTAAATCCATTTTATCTTGTAATTTGTATATTAAAAAATTATAAAAATTATATATTAATAATCTATATATTAAGACAAATCAAACAAGATCACACATGACTATATTTAGACTTATACATTGAGAGAATTTGATGAGTCAAAGTGCTTAGATGAATAGTTCCAAAAGTCAAAACTGGACGAATATAGTGGGACGGAGGGAGTATTTCCTTAACTTTTTTGACAATACATGGGCATAGAAAAATTCAGTGGTTTTCTTCACTTCCTTTAGTAGGTGGTAATTTTTAGCTAACGTGGGGTGACTATTTTCGTCCATTAAGAGGAGGAATAAGAGTCAAAAAAGATATATTGAGTGATCAATAAAGTGTTGTCTACACTAAGATTTGTACATTATTTTTACATTGACTGCATCACACACATATATGTTGGAACTTTTGGTTTAATAAGAGACCAAATTCGGACATAATTATCTGTGGAATCGATAATTATTTTTCCAAATTAATTGTGCATGATTGATCTCCCAAGTGAGACGAGTGTTTCGATATATTGAACGCTTAAAGTGGTGCTTCGGTGAATGAGAAACTAATTCATAAAGTCGACTAATTGGAAAGAGTAAATGGGGTGAAAATTCATGTGTACCACATTGGGGTTTGAAGCCTTTGGTATTCCACATGCTAGCATTTAATTGAATTGTATAAGTATTTTGAGGTGGAAGAGTGAAAGGAAGCTCATGTGCCACCGCCGTCTGTCCCGTTCGGCACAACAAGTCACAAAACGTACGCGCGCCTCAGGCGCGTGCAAATACATGTTGGTGTTGTTTGCCTGCGCGACGCGGCGTGATGCACTTCGCACAGATTCCAATTCTTTCTTTTTTCCAGTGTCTTCCCTGGCCAATTTTCGTAAGTAACTTGTCCACGTTCTAGTTCATCGATGCACGATTCAACCGCTCTAGACCTTGCATGCAGCAGTTCTATCTTGGGAGGAGATCATTCACGTTACCCGTGGGGGAGATGGCGATACTACTTTAAGGAGAGTTTCGGCGACTACGTTGTCCTTATCGGCTTCATAGTTTCTTTTTTCTGACAGGTTTTCTTTCACTCGTTACCTTGTTCCACCGCCATGTTCTCAAACTTTTAGCACTTTTATTTTCTTTTTATTTAATTTGTAAAACCCGAATACTATATAAATTTGGGTTAGATGTTTCTTTTACTTCTTGTAAATCGTATCTTTTTCTATTAATACAAAGATAATATTTTTTTGTAAGATGCACAAATAATTATTATCTATATCTACTTGTGATATAGTTAGTGTGTATAAATCTTGTTGTACCCCAAGTAGACATACTTAAGACATTAAGACAATTAGACTTCTTTTGAACGATGTGGATTGTGGATGAAGACTAAGTTGTTTTATCTTTATTACTTTTGGGGAGGGATAGACCAAGGTAAAATCCAAAGGGGGAAAAATTATTCTTTGTTTTATTATAAGTAAAAATGATGGGAAAAAGTGTAGTGTTTTAGATTTTAGGGAGTTTGAATTTTATGGCGTCTCAAAAATGAGATTTATAGAATTTTATGGCGTCTCTCACTAATGAGATTTAAAGAATATTCATTTTATTTTTTACTTTTTGCTGTCAAAATATATAAAAAGAAATTTAAATTTTTTTAAAGATTATTTTCATATTAGATATTGATGTAAAAATAATGTTTTTGCTTCCCTAAGCTTGGTGCTCGAGAGGCCGAGAGGGCACGTTGAAATTGGGTCAATCCATTGAAATTGGGCCAATCCATATGCTTGGTACTCGATAGGCTTCTCAACAGCTGGGTCAAAATTCAAATGAAGTTTACGCTTTTTCGTTGGAAAACCTTGAAATTAACTTTTTATTTTTTGGTGAATTTTTTTTTAAAAAAAAACATGTGGCTAAAAATTATTTTCTCTTTTCTTAATAATTTCAACAATACTCATTTCGTAAATGAGAAATTTTAATCCACCAGAATAGTGTACCCCATCTGTCCCGTAAATGTGTTTGACTTTTACAAAATTTTAGAAAAAAATTGAAAAGTAAATATGTGGCTAATAATAATTTTCTCTTTTCTTAATAATTTCAACAATGCACATCTCGTAAAGGAGAAATTGTAATCCATCTGAGTAATGTATCATCTCTTTTGCGTAAAAATGTACTTTCTCTTTCCAAAAAAAAAAAAGTCAGTTTGTTCTTTACGAAATTTAATTCAATTTATTTTAATTTCAGTTAATTTAAAAATTAGCAAGGAATTAAAAAAATAAAAGTTTAACTTAAAAAAATACTTCAAAAATTTTATAAAACAAATTATTTTCTCAAATAAGTTACAAAAAAAAGGAGAAATTGTTTGGGGGCACACGTTTTTTAGAGAGACGATTTCTTTGAATGGGTAATTCCGTGTTGCAAATTGTTTTTTACCAAAACCCAGCAATAACAAAAGACATTTTCTGCAACACCATTTAATGTCCTCAACAAAAAAGTGGACTACTTTTACCTGCCCCCACCTTACCTCCCTCTGACCAACTCTTTCTTAGCTTTCAACATTTGTCTCTCACCTCGCCGTACCTTTTCTCAATCTACCATAGAAATTTAGAAACAAAAAAAATTTCTATGGATAGTTCAACTGATCAAAAAAGAAGATATAATGCTCATTGATCTTGGGTGGTGATAGTGTTGAATTAATTTTGTTTGTAATAGTTCTTTATGCGCATCAAGCATGGGGCGACCTCTCTAAAGACTAAATTAAGATTATATTATGATTTAACTATCTGGTCGAGTCGGAGTGTGGGAGGCCCGGGGTTAGCGTTTCACTTTTAAAAATGAAATATCCAGTGTGTAACAAGGATAAAATTTTAAAATCCTTTGATCCCTCTCTCCGGATTGAATTTTGTTATTTGACTTTTTTGTTAGAGTTTGCAAATTTTGATCTTGATTTGCTGAAAAATACATTTTGTTTCGATATAAATTAATTAAAATATTACTCCCTCCATTCTTAAAAGATTGTCACAATTTGACTTTTGGTTAAAATCTTGCACTCTTTGACCATTAATTAGGTATAGTTTAAATATACTATATATTATAAAAATTTGATTTTTAATACTATTATGCTAAATATATGATCTCTGCAAGTATAAGATGCAGGCTTTACCCTACCTTTAATAATCAATATGTGATTATAGTACAATTTACTTCATTGCATGTAAATGAAAATTGTTTAAGCAACTTTTTTAAGGAAAACTAGAAGTGCAAAATTCTTTTTAAAATATATTCAAATTCAAATAAGAAAAGTGTGAACTGAAATTTTTTCAAAACGAATGAAGTACTACGAACTAACTCAATACCTAATTAATGGTAAGTTGATTCTTGTAAATCTTCTACCAAAAACTGAAAATTTAGTTGTAGTAAAGTCAACTTGTCTTAATGTGCCATTACTATGATCATTAGTTCATCACCCCAAGATTTTAAACTTAATTGGATGACACTTGTCATCAACATTGATGCATTCCAAGGATTTGAAATAACAAAGTCTTAATTTATAAAATGGGTGAACGACGTTTAATTACTCCAAACTTCATATCTTGTTAACAACGCCTATTAAAGAATATAATGAAATAAAGAAAAATAGTCATAAATAAATAAATAAAACTAAACAAATATATACCTCCAAAATCCAAGAGAAAATTGATTATCCAAAATCCAAATAGTAGTTTGCCATTTGCCGAACACCAACCAAGGCCCTACACGCCACTCCGAAATAGGATTTCGCACTGTGGTAATGTACATGTCCACATTACTATACTTTTTGGTAACGTACATGATCATGTTCAGTAATATAAATGCATTTTAAGTCCTATTTTGGGATGGGAATAAAAAGATGAAAGCTTTATTTTGAAATATTTTTAATATTTTAGTTTTGCTTTGGTCTTTCTCCCATTTATAATATCAATGAACGAGTGTATACTTCAAACTTCATATCTTGTTAACATCGTCTATTAAAGAATATAATGGAATAAAGAAAAATAGTCAAAAATATAAATAAAACTAAACAAATATATACCCTCCAAAATCCAAGAAAAAATTGATTATCCAAAATCCAAATAGTTGTAGTTTGCCATTTGCCGAACACCAAAGCCCCACACCCCACTCCAATTCTCATCACCGCAATCTACGCATGACTTGATGATTAACTATTCCTCATTAAGAATATGTAGAAAAAAAGAGGAGGCGCATGACCAAACGTGATGACAAAGAATAATTGAGACCCCCTATTATGTTGTCCCCTTCTTACATATGGATCTCATGGATTACATATCTCCCTATTTTTATGTCTCATATTTACTTCGAATAGTAAATATTGTAGATTAATTTTTGAAAACAGTGAAAGTTACTGTCGATTAGTTTTTTCAAAACATTAACGTTAATCTTTAATACTGATGTCAAGCAAGGCCATGGTCAATAGAGGGTGATGGGTGTATTTCACCCAGGACAAGTCCATGGTTTGGTCTACAACGCCTGACCAGTCAAACGATAAATTATAGAAATAGGAAACCTAAACGACAAAGGTTCATGTCGGTCGGTGTCAGAAAACCGCCTGGTACGCTTCGACTCTTTTACCAGTCAAATTACGAAGCTTGTTTTGATCATCTCAAATCTCCACAAACCCATCATGCGTAAACCTAACTCGTAGGGTTTCTATGGCTGGGAAGTGTCGGCACGAAAGGATCCAGAGGAGGTTGGACGATAACAGCTGAATTCAACGAAAGATCATCGAAGATATTTGCACAATCTATCCAACACACTACCCGACAAAGAAGTCACCTTCCTAGCAAGATGACAAGAGAATGAAGGAAGAAGACAAGCCGCTAGGAGACAAAGGCAGCCACCTTGCACCACCCAAGAACGTGGTTTGGCGTGGGTGTGCGGCGCCTTGCCCCCTATAGCTTCCTATAATTACTTGTGTAACCCTCAAAATAAGGCGGCCGAACTCCATCTCTCTAGAATTTTTACAAAGAGTAGAATCTGCACCTGGTACTTGCAGAGACAATATGTTTAGCATAGTTGCTTCTCACTGCAGTTGCCAAGAATAGAACTGAGTCTTATCCTCTTAACACCTTTTGTCTTGCCAACTGCGCAACGATAACCGACATTAATCAATTTTTAAAATTTAAGAGAATTCGTAGAATTTTTAGAGTGTCCGAGAATTAATAAAGAAAAAAGGAAAGTTTTTTTAAATCACACAATAACACATGAATACACAAAGACGTGCAGACGTGCAGTAGAGTCCATGTACCATTAACTCTGTTTATTTATTGTGATATTAAAAAAAACTGTTTAGTTATTAAAACATGAAAACTCACTCATGCTGTCATACCCCAAATTATAGAGTACATCCCTTGTTTTTCTTCCCTCTCTCGTTCTCACTATTTTGAAAGAAAGATTAAGGCAGAAGTAAAATACTCCCTCAGACACTATTCACAGGGTCAAGCTTTAATCACTTTGTTTGCTCATTTTAACTAGTCATTTCATAAAATAATATAGTCTTGTCACGTCTAGTTTTGTAGAACTTTTCATGTAGTTTATTACTATATAAATTTTATTTTAAAATTTTACTCCTATAATAAATTAAATTGAATTGAAAATAAAGTCGGTCAAGCCTCGTAAGGCGTAATGGGAAAATCTTACCTGGACGGAGGGAGTATTAAAAATTAACAAAATAGGGTTGAATTTTACGCTAGGTTGGTTGTGCTTGCTGATTGGTAACCGTGCTTTACCTAGGTGACTAAACCCACCCGATTGGATTCTTAATTGCTTGTTCTGGCAATTGGGTATATTTTTCAATGGGCTTGACATGTGTTCATGGTGAGAATACACTCATCAAGCGGAATACTACTCATTTTGTCCCAAAAATATTTTTATACTTCCATTTTCCAGACATCTCAAAAAAATTACTTTATTTAATATTTAAGTGTAATTTTTAGGAATAATAAAGAAAATATGAACAAATGTTATTAATTGCTTTCCTTATTCTCTATTATTATAAAAATGAATATGTGACTCGTGATATTTCTATCGTATCTAGATAAATTATCATATAATTCATATATTTTTACTCTTCAATACTTAGTTTAGAATTTATGAAAATTAATACTCCTTCCGTCCCATAAAGTGTTACCCATTTTGACTAAAGTTGAAATTAAGGGAAGGATAATTTTGTGTTGATTTTCCAAAAATACCCTTGATGTGATGGGTAAAAGTAGGATGTGATAGGTAGGGTTTGAAAATAAAAGGGGTAAAAGTGGTTTTTTAATAGAAATGGGTAAAGAATTGTGGGACACAATTTTTTTGAAACGTGTAAATCTTTTTGAGACGGATGGAGTATTAATATATAAGGGTGTGTTCATTGAGTTTAGGATATATGTGTTCTCATATCCCTATTTGGGTTCTTTTAAGACCAAAACATATAAGGTTTATATCAATTACTCCGTATATGGTCAATAGTCTACTCTGTAGTTGAAGAATTTGTTTAGAGTAATCTTTTACGAAATATACACGAATAATATTAAAATATTTTAGTTGGTTCTAAAAAAATATTGATGTTATTCCAATTTTAATAAAAAAATGATTTTTTATTTACAATTATTTTAAAGTTATAATATTTTTTATAAAAGAACATTTTTCAATTTTTTACAACACACTTTGCATTTATAAAAAATATTTTAAAAAATTGGAAAAAAAAACCGTAACACAAAAAACCGAAGCAATAAACAAACAATTCACATATTTTTTTTGTAAAACTGAATCAAACTTTAATCTTCCGCTCAATTTTTTTTTATTTTCGATAAAAATCAAACCAAAAAAATTGAACTCACCCTTTAATTATGGTGTACCTTAGCTTTATTCTATACACCAAATAGTGTCCTAGCCAAGTCCCTTATTTATTATCAGAAGGAAGAGTAAACAAGTCTATATAAAGGTACAATATTCGTTTGCAAATTAGAGAAACAAACTCTCTATCTCTCTCTCTATCCTCTCCCATGGCTTCCTTTGTCAAGAAATATTTCATCTTCTTCTTCTTCCTCTTCACCACCCTCTCCGTCTCCCTGCAAATCCATGCCAGAGAAAGCCATTTCTTCAACAAAGTCTCTAGCAGCAATGAGCAGAGTCCTTCTACTGTGATTCCTCAACAGCAGGAGCCCAGCTTCACTCTAGAGACTGAAAATGCCCATGGCATCTCCGGCCATGAATCCGGCCAGCTTTCTCCTTCTTCCACCGCCTTCAACGGCCAAGTTTCCCACTCCGCCGCCGGTGAGGACATTCCCAACAAGAAATACCTTCCCAAGAATTACAACCCCGTTGCCTATGTCACCGTCGTTGAAGACAAGAATGATGAATCCACTGCCGCCGGCGAATCCGGAAAGGACCTGTACTACACCGGCGCCAAAGATTCAAACTTTCCCGTGGATGAGACTAGTTTCATTGGAGAGGAGGTCTCCGGCGGTGCCGCCGGTAAGGAATCTAAGTTTCCGGCCGACGATGCCATGTTCGACGACAAGGAGTTCACCCCGGCCACCGCCGCCGATAACTACCACTACTCCAGCGCCGAGAAAGAATCCTTCCCGGGAAACGAGTTCCCCGCCGCCGCCGCCGCCGCCGCCGATGACGGCAACGGCTACTACTTACCAAACAAAAAATCCAGCATGCCTGAAGACACATTCACCGAAACCGACTTCAACACCCAGCAAGAACAAACCTTCCCAACCACCACCTCCGCCGGAGAACCCCGATTCAACTACAACCACGGCGTCTCCGGCAACTGGGTCCAGCAGCAGGGGATGAGCGACACGAGATTCTTGGAGAACGGGAAGTACTTCTACGACGTCAACACGGAGAAATACGTGAGAAGTCCGCTCGAGAATGCCAAAGAATATCTCGCCGGAAAATCAAGAAACCAGTTCAACAACAACAACAATTTCCAGGAAGTTGAGGAGTTCCCGGAGGAAGAAAACCTGCCCTGAGATTTGAAAAATTCTGGGTTTCTTTTTTTCTTAAATTTTCATTTTCAGATCTAAAATATTTAAAGATGATGTGAAAGTCCCAAAAATTTCCAGAACAGATTGGGTGTTTGATCCTGTGTTAAATTTATGTTTGTTTAGGGGAAAATGTTTAATATTTCGTATTATGTTTAAAAGATATGTGCATAGGTGTTGGGATTTTAAGCGCGTAATATACCGAAAAATATTGAGAACTTGAAAAATAAATAAACACAATACACAAGAAGAAAATATGAGACTATTTCAGAACGATACACAAAAAACTCTCCCTGTTTACAAGTGCTAAATACCAGACACTTATAAACAGACTTTTCACACCCTATCCCCGGATGTATTTTTCCGAGTAACTAAAACCAGTTACTCCCTACACTCACTCACACAATATTGGTGATATCTTGTGTAGCACCTCTCTCTTCACCTTCCTCTTTTTTTCCTTAGCCGTGTGTATACTTACTAAGAAGATCATGCATGGCTTTTAAAGCCAAGGGAAGTACTCCTGCAAATGACCACAAGCACAAGAGTCCAAAATTTGATTCCCTTCCATCAAAAAAATCCACACGCAATTTGATTCCTTTGATTTCTTTCTTTTCTTTTTTTTTTGTTTCTTTTGATTATTTAATCAAATATCCCAACAAACTCCACCTTGATTAATTAATCAAACCATGGTCCGGCTCCACCCCACTCGTTCCGGCGAGGTCACAGTCTCCACCAACTTGAGAAGCTTCAAATGTCACCCGCTTCTTCCATGCAAATGCTCCGCTCGTTGCACTTGTAAATTTTCCTTCTGACAACTTCCGTGTCAAATCTTTTCCTACAAGTTTATACAAGCCCTTTGACAAAACTCTTTTTGCTACCACCATTGCTCCCCTTGAAATTTTTAACACTCCACTTTGAGCAAAAATTCGGCAGCCTTTTGAATCTAAAGCCCCCAATGAAATCAAATTTCCTTTTAGACCTGGTACATGTTCACTCCAGTTAATGTTCTCACCATGCCATCAAACATGCGAACTTGCACTGTTCCGACCCCTGCAATTTTGCTCTGTGCACCATTTGCCATCTTCACAGCACCCCCATCACAAGTTTGATACGTATCAAATTATTCCTTAACTGAACACATGTGAAACGAACAACCTGAATCTAATATCCAATCCGATTTACCTAGACTCTTTGTAGTTGCCAAAAACAAGTCTTCTTCACTTTCTTGTTTCGAACCTTCTGCAACCGCAGTCACGGGTGTTTTCCCGTCCTTCTTTTCCTTCCTCCTCTTTAGACAATCCCTTTTGAAATGACCCTCTTCATCGCAGTAGTAACACCGAAAGCTTTTACTACTCGATTTGAAGCGTTGGGACGCGCCGCCCCTCTCTTTAGACCGTCCTCGTTCCCGACCAGCTCCTTTTGCTACCAAAGCTTGACCGTCATTTGATACCCTGTTGCCACCCCGCCGAGTCTCGTTCATCAACAACGCAGCAGCTACTTCATCAAATTTTAAGGTTTCTTTTCCAAACAAAAACGTGGTCACGATGTTGTCAAAAGATGAAGGCAATGAAGCCAACAAAAGCAGCGCCTTGTCCTCCTCTTCAATCTTCACATCAATGGATTCCAACTCTGTTGTAATCTTGTTGAATTCATCCAAGTGTCCATTAAAGTTAGCTTCCTCCGCCATTTGGAGACCAAACAATCGTTTCTTCAAGTATAGCCTACTTGTCAACGATTTCGACTTGTACCGGCTCTCCAGCTTGTCCCAAATGTCCACCGGGTCCGTCAAACCGAGAACCTCCCGAAGAGTATTATTTGCAAGGCATAGGCATATTGTACTTGTTGCCATGTCCTTCAAATCCTCCCACTCTTCTTCCGACAATTTTTCTGGTTTGTCGTTCTTCCGGTGTTTGGCCCACTCAGCATCCGTCATTTTTTCTGTCCTCTGAACCTTCACCTTCAGAGCTTTGATTGTCCCTTCCCGAGTAAGAACACTTTTTACTCGTTGTTGCCACAAAGTAAAATCACCACGTCCATCGAAAGGTTCGACGGAAACATTCGAACTTTTCACCGATGCCATTTTTCAAATTCTTCGACTTTCTTCTCTTACCGCTTAGAAATCCCTCCGCCCCAAATGTAACTTGGCTCTGATACCAATTGTTGGGATTTTAAGCGCGTAATATACCGAAAAATATTGAGAACTTGAAAAATAAATAAACACAATACACAAGAAGAAAATATGAGAGAAAAATTATATCTTCACTATTTCAGAACGATACACAAAAAACTCTCTCTGTTTACAAGTGCTAAATACCAGACACTTATAAACAGACTTTTCACACCCTATCCCTGGATGTATTTTTCCGAGTAACTAAAACCAGTTACTCCCTACACTCACTCACACAATATTGGTGATATCTTGTGTAGCACCTCCTCTTCACCTTCCTCTTTTTTTCCTTAGCCGTGTGTATACTTACTAAGAAGACCATGCATGACTTTTAAAGCCAAGGGAAGTACTCCTGCAAATGACCACAAGCACAAGAGTCCAAAATTTGATTCCCTTCCATCAAAAAAATCCACACGCAATTTGATTCCTTTGATTTCTTTCTTTTCTTTTTTTTTGTTTCTTTTGATTATTTAATCAAATATCCCAACAATAGGTTTGTTCTTATGGCTTTGACTTTTGCATTTGGTATGTCCCTTCAAAATTAAAAAAAAATAAAAAAAAATATTTTAGAAATGTTAGATCTAATTTCCGTATAATACTTTTGGCCTTCAATACAATTTAATACTCCGTACTCACTTCTTCATGTTGATTTTTTTAATTATAATTTTTAACTAATTTTATAGAGTGGGGTTCACTTACTATACACTCACAAATGGTAACACTAGCGGTGACACTGCGTTTTTGGAGTACTTCCGGAGGTGCTCCAAAAACGCAGTGGCACCGCTAGTGTCACTGTTGATGAGTGTCAACAGAACCGTTCCCAATTGTATATACAAACTAATGTTATGGGGTTGCAATGTTATAGGAACTCATCCGCTTAAAATATGGGTAAGGCTGCACACATAATTACCTATGATGTTTGATCTAGCTAGGGTCTCTTTGGAAATAACCCTTTTTTGCTTTCGAATAGGGTAAGGACTGCATACACATGCTTTCCCCAGACCCGACTTTTGTAAGATTCAACTGAGTTCCTGTGTTGTGCCTAATTTTATTTACAAATCATATCACTCCTATCGTCTTAAAATAAAAATATAGTTTATCATCAATACTATCAAATTTTATTTTATTTTTGTTTATTTTTGTTAATCACTTACCCATACCAACAAAAAGGGTGAAATATTGAATAGGTGCAAAGAGGCATTCAAATGTGAGCATTTAGTGCCTCTCAAATTGACAAAGTGTGTTGTTTTGTTTGGACCCTATTCAAATTTCAAACTAATTTTAAACAAAAAACCAAAAGTGGAATATAGTGGCCACAAAAGCGGTTATTAAATCCTTCTTGTGGCCCCAACATGGTACTCTTCTTTTGTTTTATATATGACCATTTTCTTTGGCAAAACAAAGTGCCCAAAACTCGTTTTTTTTTCCACCTCTTTTCTTGCTTTTTATCTTGGAGGGGTGAATGGCAAACTAGACATGATTTCCGCCTCTTGCGCCGCTAAAGACGCATCTATTTCTATTATCCTAATTCTTCATTTCTTTTCATAATAATATTCTATTCATTGCATAAAAAAGTTTCTGAAGATTATCGAGAGGAGAGAAAAAAAATCGTAATCAAATTGGGGACGGGGGGAGTATTTATTTACATTTTTTCATGGTCTATATGATAAAATAAAATATTTTTGTCACTGTTTTTATTGAAATTTTAATGTAGTTTTTTAAATATATAAATTTTATTTTTTTATACCAATATTTAGATTAAAATAGATTGAAGAAACTTAGAATTTTCTTTTGTTTTCACAACGGGATAAAAGATATACTCGGTAGAACAATTCACTTAAAAAAATTGATGTCAAAATTAATGTGTCCCCAACTTAATTCCCCAATATTTTTTCATAAAAAAATCACCAATATTAATTGCCCTTGGGCTTGTACCATAGAAGTCCGAGGACTGCAAAACACATTTAATGTTTTGGGCGTAAGTAGTTGATGACTTGATGTTTGATAGGTAATCTTAGACTGCCGGCCTCGGAGCTAAGATTTGTTGCCCAGGAAATTTAAGTCCGTTCTGACTTGTGATGCTTATTGGTTTATTCTTATAAGTAAAAAAAAAATAGAGATATTTTTTAATCTTATTGGTTTACTTATTCTTATAAGTAATTATAATCCGGAGTAACTTAAATGAGAGATAATTTATATAGAGATATTCATAAAAGGTGAAAAATAATTTTGAAAATAATCTGGTAAAATATAGAAAAATGAAACCTTGCTTAAAAACAAATAGATAAGACATTAAGACATACTTTTTTGTACTTACAAGTCAATTTATAAGCACAGAAATATGTTATCTAATGATTTACATCTTCCGTCCCATAAATATTTTCCTATTTTGTCTTTTAGAACAGTTAAGGAGAGATATTTTTGTGTTATTTTTCAAAAATAGTCTTGATGTGATGAGTAAAAGTAATATGTGATGGGTAGATTATTAGTAAAAAAGTATATATTACGAAGTATATGATAGGCAAGTTTATAATTATTATGGTAAAACTGATTTTTAATAGAAAATGGAAGAAATTTTGTAAGACAAGAAATAGGAAGGAAATGAATTTTTGAGAGGGAAGGTGTATAAATTAAAAATAATTTATATTCTAAATGACATTCATTGTCAAAGTAAGCTATTTTGTTAGTCTACAACACACTTCCATCATCATCCCTAGAGCACATAGTAGGTTTTGGTCCAACGTGGTAGTTAACGGGTAGTAAGTACGGGTAACCTAGACCTTAAAAAAAGGATGAGCTTCTTCTTTGAAAAAATAGATGACTCATCCCCGCGCGTTCCTTCAGACCTAGTCAGACGGTTATTGAAAGAATTTAAATTGAATTTCAATCGGTCAAGAGAGATAAATTGAATTATAAGTACGGTCTAACACGTAAAAAATGGATTCTGTACATAATATATGCAAATGTTTTATATTTTATATAGTTGACTTTCAATGCAGTTATCATAAACTAAACTTGAAATTGTTGTTTTAAGAGCACTTTCGAAATATATCTATATATGAGTTTAAAATAGTATTGCATCTAAGACTATAAAAAGTCAC